CAGATGGATCTGAGGATCATAATCCTAACAGAAACATGGCTACTCCCTGACATTTCAGACGCAGAAGTGAGCTTGCTAGGCATGACACTCTTCCGAAGCGATAGGATACACCAAACTGGAGGTGGAGTGACTATATATATAAATAGCCCCCAAAAAGCAGAGCGGCTATACGACGAACTGAGATGACAGAATCATGTTGGTGTTGTTTCCACACGAGTGCCACGAAACACTTGATTGTAGGGATTCACTGACCTCCTTCGTGTACTAAGGCCCAGAAAAGCAAACTGATTTAGGTAATACTGCAAATGCCACTCCTGGGGTTCGATCAAATACTCTTAGCTAAGGATTTAAATACCCCATCTCTAAATCTCAACAATCACAGTATAACTCCCACTAGTTGGTTCCAAAGACAACTTGGTACAGCCATTAGAAGCTCTGGTCTGTCTGAGCACGTATGCAGAGCTACTAGATAGACGAAGGAAGGAAAGTCCTCAAACCTGAATTATCTATTAACAAATGACCTGGTTAAAGATGTTCACGTCCACGCAACCATAGCTAGTAGTGACCACGGCACAGTCTTGTTTAACATGGTCATAAGTGAAACAATCACACAGGACGATAACGAGCTCTATCTTCGCTACACTAGGGCAAACTATACACATATGAGAGAGGTCCTCCTACATGCCCCATGGTCACGGGAGTGGTGGAGGCTGACAGTAGATGATCACTGGCAAACAGTGAGCGATATCATCTAAAACGCTGTCTTAGACAATGTACCTCAGTCACACCACACACGCGGGAATAGAAGAACCTGGGTTAGGCGCGGCACTGAACGCTTGCTACAGGCTAAGAGGAAAGCCTGGCACAAGTGGAAGGTCTCCTTGAAGGATTCCGATCACAGGTCTTACGTGGCATTGAGAAAAAGATGCAACACCAAAGTTTGAAGTGACGGGAGACAATTTCAGATGAAGCTAGCTGCCAAAATAGAGGAAAACCCGAAACATCTGTTTAGGTTCATGTCCAAAAGAAAACCTACTAATCAAGGGTTGTGTTCTCTCAAAGGACCAAACGGGGAAGACCTCACCAACCTAGAGATGGCCGAGATCTTCAATACTAACTTTTTCGATCAATTAAATCAGGCGCTCACATTTTCAGAGTATTACGCCAACCCAATGCCAGCTGACGGCTTAGGGAACATCCGTATCACTCCTGACTTAGTACTAAAGAAACTAAAATTCCTACGCCCAGTTAAGTCACCAGGTTGTGACGAAATTCGCCCCATAGTCTTGCAACAATGTGCTGAGGTCCTCTGTTTTCCGATATGTGACCTGTTCAGGGATTCACTGGAGTCACACCAATTACCAGCGGAATGGAAACATGCTACTCTCTCTCCAATCTTCAAAGGAGGAGATAGAAAGGGCCCAGCCTGTTACAGACCAGTCGCACTACAACCAATATTATCAAAGGTTATGGAAGGACTAGTGGACGAACAAATGAGGGAGTACATGGATAAGAATAAAATACTCCATGAAGCTCAACACGGGTTTCGGAAAGGCAGATCGTGTGCACCTAAACTTCTCATTGCATATGAAAGTTGGACATCCTGTTGGTAGTTACAGCCCCCTCAGTGGACTGCTTTAAGAAGAGACTTGATGATCACGTACTCACACACGGACTATCATCTCCCTCTTGGACAAGCTGTTCATGATGCTTATCTTGAGACCTGCTAGTCGTTATCATTGCCATCTCCTCCTCTCATCTCTTTTCCCTCCCCCTTGCTTACGCTACGGTCCTCTCTCACAATCTTCAACTACCAATCAACAAACTAAATTCATCCATATAATAATCAGTTCTGAAATTTTATTTATATTATCATTAGAACTTCATCCTTATTACCCTTATTACTCTCCAAATCGCAACTAACTGATCTCCGGTGTGGTAATGTGACGGCTGCTAGTATCCAGAAACCCTGCTGCCCTGAAACAAACGTTTTCTTTCAAATCCCGAGACATAAAAACTCACAACCAACTGCCAAGTGATTAGAATTAGACAGTCGAGTGGCTAGACCTCCATCCATTGGACATTACCGAACACCTGGAACCTAACCGAAAGAACAGGAATCGAGCGCAAAGAAATCATTTGGTTTACACAAACTCGTGAAAAAGTTATTGGATACTGGATTCACTGTTTGAAATTCGTTTTTGGTATCGGTCTACCAGCTCTTCATAACGGTGGGGCAGTGACCAGACTGCTACTCATTAGACACTACTGAATACCTAGAACTGTACCGCAAGAACAAGAATGGAGCCTGAAGAAAATAACTAGTCTGTGCTTTCTCTTTAAAAAGATATTGAATGTTGGTGACTGTGACCTTGTGGGTGTTAGTTTTACTAAGCCTTGTTATGGAAACATAATTTTATCGCTCTCAAACATTTACTGACGTTAGGTCATTGTAAATTGAGATCTGCAGTTTCAATTCTACGTCTTTGATCTCAGTTGCGTAGTTCAACATAGTGAGAACTTCTTGAAGCGTAGATTATTTAGAGTTATACGATGATCTTTACCGACACATCTAATATTTTTCAGGATCTGTATGCACTGGTTTATTTCTTTGAGCTATTGTTGTTTTGGTACGGCTTTAGGTATTTCATTATTTCCGGTGAATGTTAGTTCAGAAGCTTGACTTTAGTTCCAGTTAGTCGGAAGTTGTTTATGGGTTTTTATCTCCCGGGATTTCAGTGAGTGCTCTTGTCTCAGGGTAGTAGGGTTTTTGTATACGAATGGCTTTCATTTTACTAAAACCGGAAATCGATTGGTTTCAGAGTGAAGAAGAGTAGGCGTCAACGCTAAGCCACAGATGAATGTTTCATAGGCAAGTTGATAAATCATAAGAAGCATTTCAGAAATTGTGAGAATACTGGAATGTGAGGATGAAAAATGAAACAAACAAAAATAGGCCTTATGTAATAAGTCGGTAATCCAAGAAAGGGATATTAATAACATGCATTAGGGACGGTTGATCCAAGGGAGGGATGGACTTAGAAAAATTTCTTGAAAGTAAAACTTAGTTGTTATTCTAGCATTCTATGAAAATTTCTTATGATTTACTAACTTTAAATAGATGTTTTATGGAGTAAAAGAGCTGTTGTTCATGTTTAGTACGTTTATATTTCCTCAGCCTAGTCTTCTGAATTCGGGGAAAAATTTATTGGTTGGGAAAAAGCTTTAATATGAAGTTTTGGTGAAATTTGAGAGAAATAAGACTAACGCCCCAATTTTACTTTAATCTAGGGTTTTTTCCCAAAATAACTTGAAAATTTAAGGAAATCACACTGAAGTTTGATGAAACTTCGGTTTTTTTTTCAATATCCCAACGAAGTAACAGCAACCCCAAAGTTTCGAAAATTTGATTACGATTTTGGTAAGAGGCTGTCAGTTTCAAAATATTTGTTAAAGTACTAGCTATCAGGGGAATTCGATTTTTATTATTGGTCCTTCACTAAATAGGCTTCTTGCTATAGATGATACTAATTTTCCTTCTCCGAAACGTTTTTCATCCTCCTACCATGAGCTATGGTGACCAGGTTAAGTGATAATTGATCCCTGAAGAAAAATAAATTCTACCATAAAATTTTCACATAAGAAGTGAAAATGATATATCCTAATGAGTACGATTTTGAGTTTACTAAACAAGAAGCATGAGTCCTTCATCAATTACAAACTTGCAGAGCGCATAAGTAGTATGCTGAATACATTTAATTCTGACTAAGAAGCATAAATCAACGACATGTTAGGTGTTTTTTATTTTGCTTCCAAGTACTAAGAGGATGATCAGTCATTGGTTGGTTTGAAGTATATTCAGAGTTGGAATGTAACTCTATTTATGAGATATATGTAACATCAGTTACATTAAAATGCCTTCTGAAGTAAAAATGACGTCTATCAGTCTTCTAACTTTCTTCAAGTTATATTTATCCATTTAAGGTTTTGTGAGTAGAAATTTGTGATTGAGCTAGTCAAGAAAAACCCTACTGTTAGATTGCTGTAAACAAAAACTGCGTTTACAGTCTATCATTAAGTAACGGTTAGTAAATCTAGAGATAAAATCATCTTTATTTTCAAGTCGGGTAAGAGACTTGTGAAAGTTTTTTCACTTAATTTTTTTAGATTGACTCGATGGACGCTTAATACCCATATTTTTGAAGTCGTATATTTTAGGTTGAAATAATAACTGGTAACAAAGTTATTGCTACGGTTCAGCAACGCTAAAATGTTTACTGGCAGGATGTTGATATTCGGCTTTTTGTCATAAGATTGTATACAAAATGAGTGTGACCAAGCTTTTTTAGGTTGCTAAGTATTCCTTAAAAATGCATGATAAAAACCAAACAGCAATGATGTCGAAGTACGTGGATCAATCACAATAAATACTCATCAGACTCAGATGGTAATCTAGATAGACCGTGGCTTGGTTGTACTTCGAATATCAGCCAAATAAGGATAAATGAAATATAGACTGGAGAATTGAATTACACTTCAACGTATAAACATACGTTTTGTTCACTGAAATAAAACTGTGAATTATCGATTGTTGGATATAAAACTAAATGGAGATGAAGAATATTAACTAAATACCTCTCCACGAAATAAGGCAACTGTCATTTAAATAATCATTCTTTAAGCATAATAAAAGAAATTATTATCAGTAACTAATAAGAACCTTAAGCACATTCCTTTTGGTTAGTTGACTGATCAACAGCAAATTATTTTTACTGATGTTAAATACACCAATTTGATTTTATTATATCACAGAAGAATTACACTAAGACTAGCTTTCAGTACGTTAGAAAAGTGGTCATTGATTCGAATACTTTGTCAGAACTAAAAGTTCTTACACTATCTTTTTGTGAGAAATGATCCACATGTGATTTTAAAAACATTGTACATTTGATTTTTCATTACAATTCTTGTGTATACAAGCTTAAATCAAGTATTGGCCCATGTCACTCAATTTACGGAATAGAATATCTAAAAGTGACCTGTTTAAATCCGATTTGGCAAAGGCGCTTAATGATTTGAGCAAATTAAAAGAGCTAGCTAGATGGGATAACGATAATTATGAAAGTCAAATCGATACAGAAACACTTCGACGTTATCTAAAAGTGAAATCCAAGGAGGCTGAAGAGTTCAATAATAAAAAGTAAATTTACAGTTACTAATATGATATTATTAAACTCTGATAATATTAGAGAACATTTGAAAAATATACTAATCAGTGATGAAAAAGAAATTCTGAAAGAGCGTAAAACGCTAGATGAGGAAAAACGTGAACGTCTGAAATTTATGAGAGAACAAGCCGAATTGTTAGAAAAGCAAAAAAGGGAGGCAGATGAGAAAATTGCGCGTGAAAAGTATGACCAACGTCTTCGGTAGGTAAAAGATATTTAATAATTCAATTTTTTGATGTTTTTTAGCGCTTTAATATTAAGTGAAGGTAAGATTGTTAGGCACTTGGGCAAATTTTCAAATGCTCAGTAAATAATGTATTTGAGATCGGGAAGATACCTGGTTAGAACTTAGTGCGGATAACAACACTAGAATGAAGGTACATACAGCCAACGAGTCCAAAGTAGAACGAAACGAAAGTTGTGACTTCCACCGCTTACCATAAATCCATACATCCCATTAAAACTTGTGGAAATGTCTATCTCAAGATAGTCAACACTGGATGCGTGTATGCTAACAAAGACTGATCATGATTCAGCTGAAATGGTCAAAAAGGTCTAACTGAGATTCTTTCTAATAACGACAAGTTATCTCTGAATTGTTTGAAAGATGGAATTCTGAAATTCACCATATTGGCAGAATATACTAAGAAGGCATCTAAGAATCAGGAATGAAATCAATTACTATAAAGCTGAGAGGTTAACGATAAATCCAAAGTAATGAGGGCTATCTCCACATATATTTGATTGAATTTGTGATCATGCACAATACTACATTTCTATGGTCTCACAGAAGTCCATTAACATGAAACCCAACTGAAAAGCTCGATAGACTTTACAAGTGCACCTACATGAGTAGAACTAAGCGTCCAACTAACAGTATTGAAGTATCGAGATTCAAACTAGTTTATAAAGAGAGAACGTATTAGTATTTTAAAATAGCTGAAGGTATTTTTTAATCAGTGACACTCACCAAAGCACAAATTGTTTCACTAATAGTTCATTTTAGCCTAGTGGATATTGAAATATATGGAGTACTGGATCTCGGTGGCTCCGAACGTGACTGTCCATAGAATCCTCCGGTTTCTGAATCATCATGATTACCTTTATCTACGTGATTTGAATATTATGAGGCACATATCCAAATTTCTGTTAAAGGTTAAATGACAGAAATATTAAATAAACCTCAACATCTAAGATAATAACCCGGCGGTTATTAAAAAATATTCTGGAGATAAATGTACTGAAATTTCTGTGATAACACTTGAACTGGCAAATCATATGAATCAGCAGTAAGATGGGTAAGCAGCGGCGATATTTATTAGTGGTCGAGAAATACTTCAAAATGAAAAAATTAGATGAATGTAGGTGCGTCAAATTCGAACTCTGGTTGTATGGTATCATTATCAGAGTTAGCAGTAAAATTTTCCATTTCGGCTCTACCTATGTTATGTATGTCCTCATAAAGTCCTGGATTGTGACTAAACCACGGCGTATTAAAAAATTGTGGAACAGAGGATTCGAAGTGAGATGTGACTACGATTGAAAGATCCCTTTAGTGTCAAAACTGGAGGGAGGGTTGAATTACTGATCAGCGAAAAATAATGAAGAGGGCGACGAATTTAATACACCCATGTTTGTGGGGCAGAACAATTTTTTTGTTTAAGGCTCCTTGTGACTGATGAAGAGGCAAACATTCAGTGTTATTAATGTTATTCCCCCATGTTTTCTGCTTCATATACCCATGTTCTCGTTCTTCTATTGACCCCGTTATCCTATTAAGTCGACTTATTACATGCAAGTTCATATGATTAGACAAAGACTAAACGGTTGGCATTCGTAATTTAATGAAGCATATTGGATTTCGCGCTTGAATATCATTTGTATTTTCGTCAGTGACATTTTACAAGTGTAAAATATTTGAAATAATATAATTGCTAAAGAGCACATTTGGAAAAACGTGACAAATGTGAAGATATTAACAAAAATGTGGATTACATGAGTCTGTTGAAAAGATGTGTGCTTAAAGCAATAAGACAGTTAAGTTTACATTTTACTTGCCAACATGGCGCTAAGGAGAGAATAACTTTTCAAATGAGTAAAAAATTTCTGAAACCTGATACTGAATCGTTACTATTGTGCTTAGTGAGTTAAATCAACTTAATTGTTCAACTGTTTTTAGTGTCTTTAGTGACCTCATTTGTTGGACTATCTGTTTAGAACTCCTATCCTATATATCTAGAATTGCCTTTATTGAAGGGCGGCATTATAAAAGTGGACCATTTTTTTTCTAGAAAATAAGCTCAGTGCTGTTTTCTAAGAACAGTAAATATGTTTTAAAGATGTTATATTGTAAGAATAAATAAGTCAAACATTCACCAATTTAAAATAAGTAGAAGTCACATTTTCAATATGACTTTGTAAAAATAAGCTGGTAGTTAACGTTCAAGTGAGTACAGCCATTATGAAAACAGTTTGCCATACGGTCAACAAAAAGATTTTAAAGTAAAGTATTTCCAGGGAAAATAGTGGTAAAAAACAAATAAAAGTTCATTGAGCTGCATTTACAGCCACAACATTTGCCTTCAAGAGATCGTAAGTTTGTCCATTGGCGAGTGACTTCTGTAAAATAATGTTTTGAACAATCAATAAAAATAGAAATGTTTACTTTTCGTTACTTCAAACTATCTAACCATATTATTTGCCAACTTTTCTTAAATTTCCATCAGTGAAGAATGCTCTGAATTTCGTCAGGAGTTAAGTAAACGTAGAGCTAATGAGATTGCTCATGATCTGTTAATCCAAATCGAAATGAAACAGAAACAAAATCTTTTGGAGAAACGGCTAAATGACTACTTGGATACACTTGTATTACATCATTCAGAAGATAAATCTGATGAAGCTGCTGCTCAGATAGTTGTAGAAGGAAAGAAGTAACTCGTTTTAGAGTCCTTTCATTTTCAGATGCGTTGCAAACTTCTTAAGACAACAGATAGAAAGAAAGGAGCATGAGAAACTTGCTGAGAAAAGGGAGAAGATGAAACAAGCAAACGCTTTGGTAAATTAACTATTTTTGTAATCGTGAATAAGCATTTAATTAACAAGTCAGTTTGATTCCTTCATCCTTTACTCGAGGTATTCTTAAAAAGCGAACTGGAATTCAGTTCAAATTTAAGCGAGAGTTGAACGTTTATCCCATTAAATAAAAGCGCACACTAAGAAAGATGTCCGCAAATTAGTAATTCTACAAAAGGAGTTGTTAGAAATCATAGGATATTACTTATAAAGATCTTATGTGTGCTTTACTATCTGCCTCATATATTCTTCATTGAAAATCATTTATAGGATCCTATAATTCTTATTTAAGTGATGATTATATAGAGAGTCGGGATTGCACTACTGCAATCTACTGAGTGATAGACTTACAAAGAATATAGTTAGTGCATATTACTAATTAGGACTGTCGTAAAAACGATTTGTTCTAACCATGAGACTACCTGTGTTCAATTTATTTATGGTACTGCTCAGACTATAATACATCGAAGCAAATGAATATTACCTTCCTCTGTAAATAATATCTGTCTGTTATTACACTTTTTAGGAGGAACGAAATAAGCAACTACAGCAAGAAAAAGAAGATGAAATAGAACAAAAGAAACTGAAGTCTCTAATGATTAAATCGGATTTGGACAAGTGTTTACAGGAAAAACTATTAAGGAAATCAGAAGAGAACAACCAGAAGTCTCAATACAATAGTTTGTTAACAGTATTAAATCAACAAATAGATGCAGAGAAGAGTGAACAACAGCGGGACAAGGTGATTTTTTAACAGGACTATACTTACAGAGAGATAAAATTATTTCAGAAACATTGCTGAAATGATGGGAAAATGTTTAGCTTATATAAATGCTGCTAATACATCATGTCAGCTGAATATTTTCATATCTAGGGAAAATAATCAAGTACTTTACATTCAACCTTTTTGTACGTACGTATCATTAGCTTGGTAATCAATGTGTAGCCATAATATGTACTCCAATCAATATCCAAACTTAACGTTCAGAATTAAAACTAGCCCGTATCATATAATTGCTAAATTTCGGAATACGTTAATACGATTGGGTAACATTGCGATTTGTTCTAATTATGGTGGAGCTTATAGGGAATATACAGTGGATATGCATCAAAATGTCACCCTGAAGTTAAAGGCCGAAGAGAGAAGTGTAAAATACCGATTTATGGCGCGGTCTGAGTTTTTCGAGGAGTGGAAGATATGTGGAAGAAGACAGCCAAGAATACTCTTATTTCGTAAATTGATGTTGTATGAAAAGATGTACACTTTGTAGCCAGTAGATTCATACTCATTTCCCCTTAAACCTCAATCAAGTATGACTGTTAGATTAATTTCTAATATCTTCCAGTGATCTTAGATTATCTTACGATCAACTTCGGTGGATTCCGTTACAACTGTAGGACTTAATGCAATAACTTCCTAACAAGTTAACTGAGTGATTTTTTGTAAAAAATCTGGCTGACATTTATATTATTTGGTTCAACAATTCAATTACCTTTAGAAATAATTTATTGTAGACTTGCGAAAATACAATTTGTAATTCAATTGTTTATTTGTCCATTTCTTATCTTCTGAAAGGCATCGATGGTGATCATACACTACTCATAATGGCGTGTCACGATGATAATGCTCATTTCATTTTGATTTCTCTAGTTTTTGTAATAACTATAGACATTTTGTCTCTTAGTCAAAGGGAGAGATGAAATATGAAGTCATTGGTGTTTGGTCTACTGTTTTATCCAGATTTTGCATGCTTACTGTTTTTGGCAAAGAGAAGATCTCATAGTTTACCCTGGAAGTATACTTCTTTTCAAGTGCTATCGTGATGTAAACCTAACTGGGAAGCCATACTCATTAGTTCCTAACGATCTCCAGTTTACAAGTAAATCTGATAAGTTCCCACTATTTCAAAACCATAAAAATAAAACATCGTGAATGTTGTTAACCACAGACAGATTGAAGTGGAATTTATATTTGTATTAATTTATGTTAGTCAATAATTCGTGTTCTAACCAAGTAGTGTATTTCAACACTGAAGAAAACATGCCGAATGAGCGAACACATTCTCTCCGTCCGTATTTTGTTTTCTTCAAAATAGTATTATAATTTGCTGATCTGATGATGTGAAGGTAACCAAAAATAGAATTTAATCTTAAAAGTTATTTTTCTAGGTTGTATATAGTCTAGGTAAAATAAACAATTTCATTATTCAAATTTCAGGTTGCTTTAGAGAATGAGGCGAGGCAGTATTTGGAGCATATTCGTAATTCAAAAGAGGTTGAAAAAGAATATGACAAAGAACTGAACAGAATTATTGACGGACATATTGCCGAGCAACAAAAGATTGATCACCATAAGCAAATGCAGCTTCTAACGGCTAGAGAGAATTTGAAAAATGATGTCAATGAAGTATGTCGACAACAAATAATAGAAAAAAGTTAGTTTTTTGTCTTCTTAAAGTGCTGTAGTATATTTTACTAAAACGATTTTGGTTAAATATTTTTTATCTGTCTGTTGTGTATCTTTGAGATTTCTTAAAATATCTGTAAATATTTAGGAACCTGTAAGGATGGTATGTGGTAGTCGATCACTTCCCGTGCAGTTACATTCTCTTTGTACCTAAATAAAACGTTTAAGTGGCAAGATTTAATCCTGGTTCGGATGATAGTATATAAGCAGGACAGCCTGAATACAATATAAGAGCTGGGCATTTGTTGTACTGGATGATTTAAATGTAAGATCACATAAGTTAAACAGTCACAACATTCCTGTCCAGCTCCAGCATATTAGCATTTACGATCAGTCTCACTAACTTATGAATGTGTAGTTGTACAATTTTGAAGTTTATAAGAAAACCGGTAACCGAGATAATGGATACCCACCAGGATGTTCGGTCGATACTCTATACATAAACTGGATCACGTCATACCAAATACAAAATTTACAAAATAACAAGAACCATAGAATGGGCTAGATAAAACAACAAAATTACAAGCAGTATACACTGAATGCATGATACAGATCAATGATAGGATGGAAATCGCATATTAGGTAGGTGTCTGTGTGTTCATCATCGGCGGGCAGAAACATCTTATTCTCTCTAGCCATACATAACAGGTAGTCTGGTTTGGAAAATTTGTCATATTAACACACATAAAAGTCTAATTCAAAACCAAGTTATTAAGACGCACTTAATATTAAGTATCGAAATCCAAATCGTAGTTTCTCCAGTATTGAAGAATTGTGTGTACAGTTATTATACTTTTGTTTGGTCAATTAGATAGCTTGACCAGCCACCACATGTGTACTATGACTGAAAACCATGTACTGGAATCTATACTCACTGTATGTACCTATACACGATAAAGAGTAGTGTTTTATTTGTTTTTTCCAGAGAGAAAACATGATGTGGATAAACTTGAACGCATAGAAGAAGCAAAACACCTTAATGAATTTATTCAGAAATTGGATTTTGATTCTAAGCATAAGCTACACTTACAACGTCAGAAAATTGCAGCATATCGTAAAGCATTAGAGCAACAAATTGCTGACCAACGAAATAGACATCAACAACTATTAGCTGATAAGGAGCGAGATTTAGAGGAAAATAAAAAAACACAAGAACATTTAGATGAACTTGTGCATAAAATTGTCAATTCAAACGAAAATGATCTCAATAAACATCCATGGCAAAAGTTAGTAGCTACTGGTCATTCGTCTATTCCAGTATGGGATGGGGAATTAAAATTATCGGAGTTTGCAAATACGAGGCATTAGACTAAGAAATGAATGTGACTCAACTTTTTTTATTGCTACTGTCATAAAGTATAAATAAATTAATAATGTTACTGTCGTTGTTGTAACTCAAGAGGTTATTGATATGGTGGAGAAAATTTGTAGATAAGGTAGATGATTGTGGTGGAGTATGTATCATTACATACGGACAATTATGGACATACGTTCGATTAGAATAATGTTGAAATACCGGATAGGGGGAGCACAAAGAATACTAGAGAATTTTTAGAAGCTTGGCACTCAGGTCAATCAGTAATCAACAAACACAGATATTGACCCAATTTATCAACCAATGAGAAAAATCATAGGTAAACACAAGATCAAGAAACAGATCAAAGGGGGAGTACAATCAAAATAAAAGTTCAAACAACGACAAGTTTAAGGTCAATGATAACCAATCAAGATCAAGGTTAACAGACCAAGCTACGGGTCAAACATGGGGAAATTCGAATACTTATATCTACAGTTCGTGCTGATGATTGTTCCAAACGACAATGAAAGCTCCACAACCAAAATATCCAGCTCAGAGAATAGAACTCTACCACAATCAAACAGGTTAATTCAAATACTTTATTGGAGCATCCCGGTAACTTGCGTGATTACTGATTGTTATTTATTTCTGTTTGTATTAAACGTAAGTGTATTTAGTGCGCTCGCTGGGTCGTCTGCTCACCTACTGAACCTGTTCCTGTTCGACCTCAGAAATTGATGTATTTGCACAGCTCGCCTTACAACTCAGTACTCACGTTTTCGTACGCCAAGACTCATTACGTCGACCCTTTGAGGCTGCATACGAGGGACCTTACAAAGTTCTCCATCACGAAACTAAATGCTATATGATTGATAGGAACAGGATTAATGACAATATCAACATCGACAGGCTGAAATCCGCCTACTAAGAAACAATATCACCTCATAACCATTGTTAAGCAAATGACGTGCAATTGCACTGCTGAAAACATGTTGTCCTCTTAGTTTTAGTTTCAGTGGAATGTGCTCAGAAATGCGGACACTTACCTTTCTTTCTGTTTTTTCGATGTATGTGTTTTGGCACGTACATGTAAAGTTATAGAGACATTTGGAAGTAACATTAGGCGGGAATTTGTTCCCTTTCGTTCGACGGCGGTAATTAGAAGCCGAATACGGATTTCACTGAGTGAGCTTACTTCAGGCAATCGTTCGTGCAGGCTGATATAAGAATATAAAGTGTTAGGGCAAAGCGAAGTGGAGAAAGCGAGTGAGCCAACTCCCATGCTATGAAGCATGATTCAGTGTTTGTAGTTAGGCGAAATAAGCTCGACATGTAAAAATCGAAGTAAGCAGCACACACTAAAGCATGAGAAAATAGTTGGCAAGTTCGGAAGACGTGAGCATAATAACTTGAGAAGAATGGATTGACTAAATTATCCAATGACTGAGACGAGCGCTGCGGGCTTGAAATAAATTACACACACTACAAACGCTTTACCTCATTGTTAGTTTATCCGCAGGTAAATGATGCTATTCTGAGGGCAACCCATGGTTTTCAGTTTCCGGAAGATTTTAGCACCAACTAAATGTATAAATCAGGTTCGCGGCACGTGATCCTAAATTTTCAGATTTTCTTGCGAAGATTCTATTTATTGTTGGTTGCATGAAACGTTTCCGATCGTTTTTGAGCATCTACGGACGCTGCTGACTAATTTTTAGAGATTCCTTAATGTAGAGTGTGCCACTCTCTTACATCTCTGTTCACACCAGGCTTTCTAAATCGTTCCTCAATCAGCTTGGTGGATGCTCGAACACATAGACTTACGGAAAACGTTGCGTTAGTAATGTTTCGGCCAGATTAGACGATCCTTACCTTCAGCTGTGTCACAAAGTAAGGTTTCATTACCTGTTCTCGTCTGTTTCATGCAAAGCTTCAGGGTTGTTGATGGTAATTCGTTCCACAGATAAGTGCCTTCTTATCGAACAACGAGTTTAAGGACGTCAGTTCCTTGGAAATGCTCACCACAGAATTTTCTAAAAGGTGGATACCAGTGGGCTGAAGAAAGCGGGAAAAGTCGGTTCAGACTTGATATTTTTGTATGTTGACAGCAGTGTCGTGTTTGTGAAGTAGTTGGAAAACAAGTTGCAGATGCTGGAGAATAGATTCTTTCTCTGGATTCGCTATTAAACAGTCATCAACATGAGCATACATGAAATCGAGACATCCAAAAAACAATATCAATGAGTCTCTGAAAAGTTTGAGCAGAGTTACTTAAACCGAAAGGCATACGCATAATCCGTAGACTACAAAAAGAGTGATGATAGCCGTTTTGGGGAGGTTATCCACTGCCATACAGATCCAGTTATACGTTTTAACCGGGTCAATTTTTGAAAAGACATTTGTGACTTTCAAGTTAGCTCTCTAGTCATGCATGTGCACTGTCAGGTAACTATCGTGTGTTATCTTTGTATTTAGTCACTGTTAGTCACCAGTTGGACACCGATCATTGCTGTTATTTTTTGGGACTACATGCAACCAGGATGCCTATGGGCTGTTTCACAGCCGAAAACTTCCTAAATTTATGATGTTACCGAAATCGTTTTTGGGAAGCTTTAGCTTTTTGATGGCTAGTAGTCGTACTTTTGAGAATACACATGGTCCTCTAGTCGTTATGTGATGTGCAATAGTACTGCACACAGCAATTGTGGTCACGTTTAGCACAGCTTCGGGTACCTGTTCAGTTTGGGTTGAAAGAACAGTCTAACTGTGACTGGCTCTAATATATAACTAGAGAATGAAACTCTACAAACAGGTTATTTAGTTTAACCGTCTATTAACCATCATTTTCTTGGATCGGCGTGTGGGTTATGATGTTGTAGAAAGTCTGAAGCAATTGTTGTCATTGACACGTTTTCCACAACGGAAATCCATTGCAGGGGTTTGATGAAACCCACCTAGAGGTAAACGCACATTTTGCCGTGAGAGGTGATCAGTTTTCCGTTCGCCGCTTGGAGATTGAAAACTGGATTTCGCAAACGATCGTTTACGTTCGCCAGAAGGATGTTAATATCAATAAGATAGTGCACATTTGTCGTCACACCCGTGTTGTACAGGGGACGGCTTTGTCCACAGGCTATGGTTGCAGTTAACGTACGCCGGAAGGAGAGTTTCGCGGAACGTTTGTGATGGAAAATTTAGGCCGAATTTGGAAAGGTTTATCTTGGGTGCTGTGGTGACAACACCTTTCAGGTCTAGAAACAGGTCTTTACTGAGATAGGCTTCTTTGAGGAGTTTTTATCGTTAGCGGTTGCGCTGAAGGTTTAGTAAGCGCTTAATTGTATTACAGAGGTCTGTTATTTCGTTTGGAATTATTGGAGGAGATGAGGTTCTGACGATCTTCAGAGTCCAATTGGTATATTTCGTTCGTTCGTCCAGAGTGTTATTTCGGAGTGATATAAGTATAGCTGGCACCTGTTGGGGAAATTTAGACAGAAAGTTGTCGACAATGGCCCTTGTCGAATGTTCGTCGGCCAATGACCACTCTCATTTCCGCTGCTGAATCGTGTTGCAGTTTGATTTTGTGAAAAGATTGGTCTGACATTTGTCGTTCGGTTAGGTTTTAATGTTTACAAATTACTCTTTCAAGGTGTTATAAGGTTCAGAAACATCATCAATAAAGATGCTGGATGTAAGGTACCTGTACGATTGGAGTGGGAGGAACTTTATTATAGCGATGTAGTGGGTATCTGAGTCTGTCATGTTGCGCTTGTGGAAGTCGACCTTTGCAAGGCAGAACCAGGCTTCGATGTTGTTAGGCCAGAATGGCATGATTTAAAATGTGTAGGGCACAGGAGTCTTAACCTTACGTAGCTTAGGTGTATGTTCCGTCATAATAAGAAGAGAATCTATGTAAATATGCGAAAGAAAAATATGAAAAAAAAAAAACATCAGATGTAAAAATATATGAATATATAACGGTATGACAAGTAACAGACTCACAGCATATCGTTGAGTATACCAGACCATGTCATGCTCCCTAATGAGGATATCATGGATGTTCAAAGTTGAACAACGAAAACTGTAGTATGCACCGCGAAAATGAAAAATCCCGACTGGGAACAAGAACAATGATTGTTGAACCTTGTTTTCATATGCCATTATGATAATGTTAATAACAGTGTGATATAACTGAGCTGTGTATCATTTTAATGATACCCTTTCCCAGCAATGGAGGGATGTGTTTGCTAACTTATTGGCTCAGGTGTCTAGTTGTACTATCAATATAGGTCTCTCTACAGAAGCAGATGAAGTCGTAGATACACACAGATATTAACAAGACCTGGTAACTTATCCTTCAGTTGAAAAAACACCATAGATCGATCAGAGAATAACAAACATATATCAGCTACATTAAACGTCTTATTTGTTGCTTTAGTTAATCTGTCTCAGAGCACGTCACTAGCTATATCTCTGTTGAATCGCAGCTTCAGAAAGAAAGGTTTCTTATTCACCACTGATATCTCTATTTTTCTGCTCATTGTGCACAGGTGTTTCTTTCGCAAATCTTGTATATAACCCATTTCTATAAGCATATTATCAATGAGCTCCAGCTCTTTGTTTGTGGTGCCATTTGAGCATATCTTCCTATCTCCTCAACACGTAAAACATGGGAAATTTTTCTTTCCAAATTACACCAACTTCGTTACTGATTTATATTTGACAGTAAGTTTTGACCAACTCAAGGTATAGCTACATTATAAGCGATTCTAGAGAAAACCGAAAAATGCCACCACATTAAATTGCCGCGGTACAACTGTTTAGTATATTTCGCTTTAGTATGTGGAGAGTAAATGATCAAGACGCAACTGTTTGAGTACCTATTTCTCGTATCTTTCTAACAGCCGTCCCTTTACTAACTATGACAATTTTTCAAAAACAGGTGATGTACTGAAAACTAATTTGATTTTGACATACGATAAGTTGATAGAATTTCTTTAAGATTTAACATAAAAAAACTGAAATCACAAAAGTGTTATCACTATTTCAGTCAGAAAAACACGAACAAATCATAAAACATAAAAATTGTCATTAACACAACAACATTACAATACAAATTTTTTCAAAAGTTGTGATCGGAATTTGATTTGTGTACGTATATTTGTTTAAAACTGCACGCTATAATTTAGAAAAAAAAACAACATAATTTTCATAGAGTAAACAAGTATACAGGAAACACAAAGGTTATTGAGTGAACTTGCTAACTTGTTCTGAAATTTTGATATTCTTTTGTTGCATAGTTTAGCTGCATAAATAGTCATTGAGGTGTACATACAGAGATTTTAAGTGAAACATCAAAAGAGATAACAAAAGATAGCTTTGGTTGTATAGATTAAACTGTTGTCGATTTGTCTATCGGTTATAATTTAAGGAAATAGAAATGTAAGAAAATGGAATCAAAGAAACTTGCAGTATAAAAAACATTTTCGTATAAATTTATTAAAAAAAAACACTAAATCAAGAAAAAAAATAATCAAATTCAAGGAAATCATTTTTTACCTTCTTACTGCTAATTATTAAATTATCACAGAGAATTATTTTATATTTTTAAATGAACAAGCTCAAAGTAATTTCGAGAAATATGTACTCGTTTAGGTATGGAATTATTTTTGAGTGTTTTTTAAATTTTGCTGCAAAAGTTGTGTTTTATTTCATGATTATAATTGACTTTGTGTAAGATATATGGCTGAACTACTATCCCCTGTCTTAGTACAATAACATGATTCAGGTGATGAATTCTGTCTGTCATAATCTTCACATTCAATGCCACCAGTAGCATCATCTTCATCATCCTCATTAATGGTATCCGTTGTGCGTACTGTAGATAATGCACTGTCAGATAATGAAGTTGACATTGTCGGCTCTGCTTCTTTGTGTAGATTAAATCTACCGAGTGTTAATTTTTCATTTGTTGAATGATCATCTTTACCACGCTTATATTTTTTCAATTTCATTTCAGCTAAACGATGTTCCATTTCACTAGCATTTACACGATATTGTGCTAATTCCATACTGATATGTGTTGTACGTCGTTTATTTTGAGCATACTTTTGTGATTTTGATTGTTCCAATTTATCTGGTTTCATAATTTGTTGTTTGTCTTCTTTTTCACTTAAATTTGAAAGAATCTCATGATTGCTACTACTTTTAGCGTTGTTTTTATCTAGGGTATGCATTTCTTTTAAATAAGTACTTGAATTCAATTTTACTACAGGTTCTGATAAAGCCCTATGCCTAGGTAATGTCAATGAATTAGCTGGTGAAAGGTAATTTGAGTGCTGTGATTCAGTGATCTCCCACTTAGAACCGAATGGTAGCAATTTAGTATGTGGCACTCCACGCAACATACTTTCATATCGTGTAATTTCGTCTTCATATACACGAATGTATTCAATTGCTAGGCATACACTACTGTGATAACGATATAACATAACCATTGGTAGGGCTACATTTATGTAGATAAATAAACTTTGAAGTTCACTTGTTTGCACAAAATATTTTTTTACACTGAGCAATATATTGTTGTGCTTTGCCTATTCAAAACAGAAATAGGAAATAGATGAAAAGGTATTGTAAAATAAGTGATTCCGAAATTATTACATAACTGAACTTAAAAAGGATATATGAGATCAAATTTATTACCCTTTTGAAAGAATAAAGTCTGCTGCATATAGGTTAGTAGCACCTGCAGGATCTAGACTTTTCAGATAATCTGGCTCTTTCATCGCAGACGCAACAACAAGTGCAAGCGAAGACGACCAGTGCAGCAATAGCATCAGCATCAGTAAGTCGCCACATGCACAAAGGGAAGAGCAAGATTCTCCGATACAACACAACATGCACCAACCAAATCACCCTTAAAGGAGGGGTTTTGGAAGATGTAGAAACCTTTACATTGCTGGGTAGCATCATCGATCAGTGTGGTGGATTTGATGCGGATGTGAAGGCGGCAATCGGTAAAGGAAATGCAGCATTTCTACAACTGATGGACATAAAGAACTCAAAACAACTGTCAGCCAACACCAAAGTCCAAATTTCAAAATGAATGTCAAGACATCGAATGTATCGAGCGGAGACTTGGAGAGCTACGAAAGCCGTTATTCAGAAGAAACAACTGTTCATTAACAGCTGTCTATGCAAAATACTTCGGATCCGTTGGCAAGAAACTAACAGTAACAAACAACTATGGGAGAAAACAAACCACATTCCAGTAGTGCAAGAAATCAGGAAAAAACGCTGGATGTGGATAGGATACGTATTGAGGAAAGCACCTAAATTGTAATCCTCAAAGTCAAAGGAAAAGAAGAGGACACTAGAACACGTTACGCCAAGTATTGGAACCATACATGAGAAGAATGAACAGATGACAGAGTGGGTTTAAAAATGCAGTTCGGCGACCTGTGCTCCATTGGGAAGATCGGGCGGGAGTGAGTAAGTAAAAATGACCGGAGAATAACAAGGAAAACAAACAAATCACCGAAATACAAGAACATCGAAACAGATGGGTAAAACACTTCCGAGAACTCTTAAGTAGATCAATACAACCGAACCCACCGAACATCGAAGCAACAAACACAGACACTCCTATAAATGAAACTTCACCAACCGTTGAATGCATCAGTATGTTCACAAGACAAATCGAGAGTCGCAAAGAAGTAAAACCAGACAACATACCAGCTGCGGTACTCATTTTAGACAAAGAGGTAACCACAGACATGCACCACTCTCTTTCAAGAAAGATTTTGGAGGAAGTGTCAACAGATTGGAAAGAAGGACACCTCATCAAGATGCCAAAGAGAGAACATCTTTGCAAGTGTGTGTATTCTCAGTCGAAGTTATGTTAAGGACACAAGCGTTATTGTACTCTGAATATCTTTGACATCTTCAACAAAATTTACATTCAACGACGTTATATACAGACAAAAGAATGTTAACAATGCAACCCCCTCTTGGTTCCCTATTAGTAGAATATTTCATGGTTAGTCTGGAAATAGATCAACTTAAAGCAATTGCTGACAACTTCCGTTTGCAAAAAATGGATAATATACTCATCATCTGTGACAACTAATATAATTTGAGTAATCTATAGTAGTTTAATAAACGCTAAGCAGAAATAAGTTCTAGATGTTTTTGGTTAGCGTTGATTTAGCATTTTTTCAACGGGATGGGACTACTAACCCTGTGCACAAACCTCCTCCTTGATCCTGGCATCGCATAAGACCTAGCACTTCTTTTGTATAAGCAGAAACAAATGTAGGTGAAGACGTCAGTGTGGCAAGAGCAAATTTTAAATACCTGGGGAGCATCACTGATGAAACTGGAGATATGATTTAAACGTGAAGGCGTCAACCTTCTGTGGCAGAGAACAAGCCAACTTCCACCTGGTAAGGATATTTTGAAAGAGCGCCTAAGAATGCATAGGGGAAATCAACAGACGACATCACAAGTCATACTTTTAAAAGAATAAATTGCACTCGGTAACAATAGTAAAGGATGATCAAGGTCAGAGTTTATAGGAGATTCTTAGTCGGCATCTCATGATTCACAAGGGTTAATAAGCGTAAGTAAATCTGTAGGCGTCTGTATAAAATACTGTCTCAATGGAAGATTGACTATTGTTTATTTGAATTTAAGAAGGTACAAACCATTAACATTGGTTGATATTGGAATGGGTTGAAATAGACTTATTAGTGAACCCTTCTTTCCTAAATCCCTTTCATTGGTTTTGTTCTTACGTAACTGCAACGTTCGAGTCATTACTCTTACGTGATTATTATTAATATTTGATTGATGAGACAAATGTTATTTCAAATTTTGTAATCTAACTACAGATTTCGATTGATTTAAAAAGAATTATTCCAAATATCATAATTATCAAAGTCTAATTCTTCTTGTTTTTTTACTAGTCGTTTGACAAATTTAATTTTGTAGAACTAATACGCAACTCTAACGCTCGAGGAGTATTTTATCTATTCGTCTTTTAATGAATGTTTAAAGGAGGATTTTTATTTTCGTAAAATACTCTTCAAACAGACTAGAAGCGAATAACTGTGCGAATCGCAAATAATACGTAACTGTTTATCAATGATCTGGTCATTTTTTTCTGAGTTTATTTACACTCGATATACGTATATATATATATATATATATATATATATATATATATATATATATATATATATATATTAGAATCATGAAAATGAAAGTATATATCATCTTACCTGAAAACTATAAATCATCCATAATGAAAAATTTATGGCTGATAACAATGCAATCATTGCGCGACCTGGTTTTCGCTGTTGATATGATGTATCATGACAACATCGATAGAATAAGTCATTAATGAAGAAATTCTGCACTGTAACTTGTATTAATTCCAAAAAAGCTGAGAATAAGTGTAATTTAAGGCACTGTTGTTCATGATGATTGAAACCGTTACCCAATAAAAATGCAATATTGAGCAGTATACATGCCACCAAGAATGTGACAGTTATAAAAAATGTAACTATCAGTAATTTACTATCTAAATTTTGGTTTGAAAAATTTACGGAGAATTTCAATTTCCTTGTACTCCATATACCGCTAACACAAAATATTAATGCAATAATAAAAAGTATGCTTGTTTCAGTTGAATGAGCAATATATATGTAATCATGAAATTTTTTTCCCCAGATCTCTAATAACATTACAACGCCCATAACAATACAAATTATAATTGTTCCCAAAATAATGCCAATCGAACCACGATCAACACGTTTCGTACGATGTTTTTCTTTTTTCTAAAATTTTGAACAAAAAGAGGAAAAGAAGACAAATTTATCAGTTTATGACTAATAATGCTTATTTTTCTTTTAAAAGAGTTCCTCTTGTAGCAATTCTAGGGTTACTACTAGTCTCAAGTGATGATAAACGAGGAGATTCGGGAAGTGGTTTAAAAGCTACATCTAGGATGAAACAAATTTATGAGAAACACTAACTAGAAAAAAACATTTACACCATCTCAACTCTACACTGGGAACTGAAGGATCTTAATTTAGAAGAGTTATATCGTCTGAAGGTTTCATCGGAAATCACGAAGCTGAAATCCCTTCTGACAACCACATCAAAAGTTGACATAGGTACATGGAATGTCCATGCGATGTGGGCGACTTGAAATAAAAATATATAACCTGATGGTGCTTACAATAAATGAAACTCATTAGATACAAGCTAGATGGCAAAGATTAAATTCGAGAGGGATGCTATCGTACTCTGATCATAAAGAAGAAAATGACTTGCACAAGCAAGGAGTTTCAGTGAAATTGTCCATTGAAGCTCGAAAGCACTGATAGAATGGGAATCTCATCATCATTCATGAAAAAGAAGCACGGAATTACAATGCATGTAATCCAAAGCTATGTACCGGCCAGTGATAGCAAAAAGCGTTACAAAGATTAGTTTCATCAGATGCTTCAGTCAATTGCAGTAAAATGCTCAGGAAAAGATCCGACATCTTGATTGGAGACCTAAACACCAAGCTTGGAATGGACAACACTGGATATGAAGATATCATAGGACGATATGGACCTAGGGACTAAAACCAACAAGATCAGCGAACGCCAAAGCACAGGCCGAATAAAGACAAGCAAACAACCAAGTGAGGAGAAACATCAGAACCGACAAACGCAAATATGTGGAAGATCGAACAATGATAACAGAAAAAGCTTCAAGAGAAAGAAATACGAAACAATTATATGATACAACAATGAAGTTCGTTGAAAAATAGTAAACCAGAACGACTAGTGAATGACAAGGAAAGCAAACAAATCACTGAAATAGAAGAACATAGAAACAGATGGGTAAAACACTTCCGAGAACTCTTAATAGATCAATACAACTGAGCCCACTGAATATCGAAGCAACACACATAGACACTCCTATAAATGAAACTTCATCAATCGTTGAAGACAAATCGAGAGTCGAAAAGAAGTAGAACCAGACAACACACAAGCTGCGGTACTAAAATTACACAAAGAAGTAACTGTGGATATGCTTCACTCTCTTTCAAAAAAGATTCTGGAGGAAGTGTCAACAGAATGGAAAGAAGGACACCTCATCAAGATACCAAAGAGAGAACATCTTTGCAAGTGTGCGTATCCTCAGTCTAAGCTATGTTAAGGACACAAGCGTTGTCCAACTTTGAATATCTCATATATCTTCAGCCTAATTTACATTCAGCGACGTTATTTACAGACAAAAGAATGCCAATAATGGAACCCACTCTTGGTTCACATCTTAATAACTTTGAGAAGTATTAAAGCATCATACAACTATCAGTTTTGAGAAGAGTTTCCAACTGGGTCTTGTTTGACAGAATCAAAGACTCAGTCGATGTTCAGCTCCGACATCGACAGGCCGGATCCCGTAAGGATCAATTATGTACAAATCAAATCACAAACTGTGAATCATTGAACGGGACTCGTCACTGTGCATCAACTTTGTTAACTACGAGAAAGTGATTGGCAGTGTGAACGATAGAATGCTTTGGAAACTTCTTCGACACTGCAGTGTACCTCAGAAGATAGTCAACATCATTTGCAATTCTTATGACGGAATACACTGCAAAATCGTGCATAGACGACAGATGACAGACTGGTTTGAAGTGGAGACCAGTTTCAGAAAGAGGGCATACTTTCACCCTTTCTCTTTCTTCTGGTGGTAGAATAGACCATGGAAACGTCAACATTTAAGGGAAAGCAAGAGATACAATGGATGGTTCTAATGTAGTTTAACGATTCAGATTTCGCAGATCATCTATCTTATCTATCTCACACACAGCAACAACTGCAGGAGAAGAGGACCAGTGTAGCAACATCATATCCAGTGGCAGTTCTCATTATACTCCAGGGAAAAAGCAAAACAACATGCACCAACAGAATCACACTCGATAGAGAAGCTTAAGAAGATGTAGAGACTTTTTCATATATGGGCAGCATCATTGATCAAAAGGTGGATCTGATGCCGATGTTAGGACAGAGATCAGAAGAGCGATGGCAACATTTCTACTATTGAGGAACATTCGGAACTCAAAACAACTATCAGATAGCATCAACTTCAGAATTTTCAATACAGCTTTCTCGACAGTTCTGTTGTATGGAGTGGAAAGTTGGAGAACTACGAATGTCATCATCCAAAAGATGTCGGTATTTGTAGACGAATGTCCGCGCAAAGTACTCCGGTTCCGTTGGTTAGACTCTGTCAGCATCAACCTTCTGTGGGATAGAGCAAGCCAGCATGTAGTTGAGGAAGAAACAAGGAAAAAGCTCTTGAAGTGTTTCGGATACATTTAGCAAAAATTCCCAAACTTTGTGTCTTGACGTGCCCTCATATTGAATCCGCAAATCTAATGGTGCAGAGGAATATCAATCAACATATTCCGCCAGCAACTGGAGACAGTATGTCATTTTGTTGGATCAACTGAATTTATTAGATACTCTAATGTTGACAGTTATAGAGTGTTAAAGCTTTATAGTACACATATTCTTAAATAAGCAGAAGTTTAAGCTTCCTCCATGCATGTGAGCTTCCTTCAGAAAATTGTCGTCTACAGCGCATATATTTGTAGATACAATGGAACTAAGATGTTTTACTCATTCCTAAAGAGTATTATTTTTCTATCCTCTCCAAAATGAAGAGACATCAAAAAGAAGAATAACGGTCTCTTACTTTCAAAGCCTAAATAAATACAGTAAACCATAGAAATGTCTTTTAGTAAGCTTTGAATGATAAGCTGAGTTCATTGTATTATTGATTGCGCTGTTATTGGTATTAATATTAGTAATGACATTATTCTTATTTTGATTATTATCATGGGACGTCATCATTTGCTGTCACTTTTGTCATCGCTATAAATCACTTTATAGTTGTATTTTAAACACAATCAATCCAAATGATGTAGATGTGATTGAAATAAGGAGGATTAAATAGCTTTCAGTTAAATTTTTTGAATAAAATAAAGTTATTATCACTGAAGAAAAAAACTAAAATTGTGTAAATGCAGCTGTGTACGGTCACTTCGATTTTGTAAATCATGAAAAACGGACTTCTAGTATGCCTAACACTAACACAAGTTATGAGTAGCGTCATTCAGTAATAAAAGAAAACTTATTTGAATATATGACCAGATATAAATGTATATTTTTTTGCCATGTTCAAAATGTTCAATCATGTAATAAAGGAAATTACACTTCAGCTTTCATAACAAACAAGTATAAGAAATATTATGTAGCAGTTTTCCATTTCGTGAAATCTGTCCTTTTCAACTTGATACTGTAGCTCACTGTTAACTATATTTATGCGTATACGGATTATAAGCATGTTAAAAAGCAGTTGGAATTTCTGAAATTCATTAATACTAAACAATTACCAATCGTTAGGATTAATCATTATACGATTGTTTAACAAGGATCTGCAAAAGGTACCTAAAGTAATCGGTGAAAAATGTCATGAAAATGCATGTAAATATTTGATATTCAGAAAAAGTAGTTACCCAATGAGTTAATGATATAAAGTATAAATAAGACTTAATAGAACAGTTATTTCTATCAATAAATATAACGTAATCAATCCAAACAATGGTCAGTCATGCTTAAACCATAAATAATAAGGCATTTTGTTTTACAAACAACATCTTTATCAGACTGTTAGTTGATAAGTTGAAAACAAAAGCTAGGTTGATTTCTCAAAGAATCGAAGGACCAAATTGAAAGTATCGAACAAAATGACTATTACATATGTTACTCCCCTATCAAGGCATATTTCGATTGTTGCAGTTATTTGAGTAGAGTTTAAGCAAAATACTTTTAACAGATAAGCAACCGCAAAAATATTGTGTAAGATGACTTTCCAGATATGGGAAGTATAAAATGTCATATCTGCATTGAAAATAGACACTTATTTTTAAGTCACTTGAAAAAATTTAACATTGTTGATCATTCAAAACATGGATAGGTATAAATCAATTTATCTCATCATATCAACATATCACCAGCATATCAACATTCTGAGGTCTTAAATGTTTATGTAAACATATATGAGTCTTACTTCATGTTGACATTCAATTTGTTTTAACTGCCCAACACGATGTAACAATTCGTAAACTACAGCTACAGCAATTGCACAGTACTCTGGTACTGCTGGAAGAAAATAGTTTGTTGCGGCTAATTCATACTTTTTATGTACAACAGTTACATTTAAAACTGCTAAAGTTCCGATACTTTTAGAAATTTTTTTAATGACAGCATCCGACCATATGCACAGATTCACCGTTAGGATGTGTAGTAGTATAAAACTGAAGATGCGTATTCTCACTAGAATTACAATCTGTAATAGTGAAACAGAAAAAATATGCTAAAAAGATGAAATTTAATTTTACATAAATTAATAGGATAACATTTATTCACATGTATTAATTTTCTGGTTTGTTTAAATGTACAGAAAATTTTTCAGAGCTTTTGAGATTTACAGTGAAGTTTAGTTGCCTTATACAGTAATTGTGTTTGTTTGTTAAATGATAACAACAAAAATTAAATATCCAATCTACGCATCAAAGCTAATCGTTAATTAAAGCTATACATTGATCTCTGATAGAGAGTTGGGAATATGTTTCTCTCCCATTTATGAACAAAAGCATTTCATCCTACATGCAAAAAGCTAAAGAAGAACGTAACACGAAACTAGATGTCGACGCTAGTGTTAGTTATCTACTGCCGTCAGTAATGTACATGATGTCCTACGGTACAGAGAAATAAGTGTAGTCCTCTAAAGGCATCCAGACTTCGATTTATAACAAGTCAGTTGAAAAAAATTATCAAATAAGGATAGGATCTAGCAAATAAATTTAATATATAGCAGTTTTTATGAAAATCTTATCATCAGGAAGTTTAAATGATCTTTAAGATTCACAAAATTCCAAGTGTGTATTTCATCAGTTGTTGACAACAGTGAAAATACTGTTTATTGCAATAAATAAATAAGCTGTTAATTCACCATCAAGTATTCAATGGTAGTAAATATTTTCTTTTAAAATTAGAAGTAATTTATCCACAAAAATATAACAAATCAATTCTCTCACCTGAACACAAATATAAATTTCTACCAAGTCTCCTACAGTATAAGCAAAATATTTATCAGTCAAGTCACCTGAAGGGATGTTTGTGTAAAAAACAAGAGATTTACTAGACTTTCAGTAATTCTGAAGATTATGTATACACAGATAAAGTAACAGGGATTTTATTGAGTTAAATGCCGTTTCTATTTAACACTTATGGTTACTGGCAGGGTTTGCTTTGTAGATTTTCCCATGTTGGTTTTGATGCAGATTAATATTTCCACTATAAGGAAATTTTCTTTTTGACTATAAGGATTTCAACAGACAGGAAAGAGGACAGGACCATGATATCATCCAAAAGTGTTTCTTTCAAAAAGTTTCAATAAAGTCCTGAATAAGTATTCATCAAAGGTTATCGATCTTGTTGGAAGTAGTTATTCACATCCAAGTGTAGAGTAACAGTTAAACAGTTGTCGCGCTGAATGATGTCATAAATAAATAGTGAAATCTTCTTTAGGAAAATCAGAGAAACATATTCAGTCATAGATTTACCTGTGTGCATTTTACCACACTAAAAATCCTAATAAGCTCTGTTTGAAATTATAAATGTAATATTTCCGTTGGTATGGTTTTGGTGGATATATATTGAGTAAATAAGTTGTTAAAATACTCAAAGAATAAGAGACTCAGTCTCTTTTCAAGACAATCGCTTCTTCTGTGGTTACTCCTAGCTTAGACTTGATGTAAACAGATTACTCTTAAATTTACCAGTTATCTCGTCACCGTTTGTTTGTATTATAAAGGGTTCCATGTTTGTGATTGCGTCGTATCCTTGACAAAATTCTTAAAGAAACATCTGAATTAACTAATCTCACCCTTCATAAACCAAAAATTCAAGATTTAATCTTGCATGAATGTGTGCAGGTATATTTTTGGGTTTTGCAATTATTTCAAGTAATATGAGTTGCACTAAATTAATGTGTATGTAGTCTTTTATTTCGAACACGGTTACTGTGACATATTTTTAACACATAGCAAACCTAATTCGACTAAAGAGAACAAAAAAGAGAATAAATGTAGACTGTCCAAGAGTTTTATATTTCGGAACATACTTAACAGTCGATAGTCTGTAAAATTAGAACTGTATTCTACTTATCACATTTAGACAATTCCAGTATACAGAATCAGAACACCATGAAAATGATGTCAGTAAATAAAACAATAACTCACCCTGGATAGTAGAAAATGAATCGAAGGATTTAGATAATTTTTGTGATCATGAATCGATCAATGTTAAGTTACCATTAGAAACCTATATGCACTGGACGGCCGTTTCGTCCCAGTATGGGATTCGAACCCAAGACCTTTGGTCGTGCGCGTGAACGCATAACATCTGGACCGCTGAGCTGGTATCTATCAAGGTTAATCTCTAACTTCAATCAATTCACAGTCTTGCGTAATCGCATTTAGTGTCTTTAGTGAGCATTGCTTCACACTCGGACAGGGTTGGACTCCACCGGTCACTGGATGAAATGGCCGTCCAGTGCTTCCAGGTTTCTAATGGTGGTCTAACAGTGATCAATTCATGATTTCAAAAAAGTAACTCATCAATCTCCACAACGTGATCACGGAGACTTAGACAGTGTCCGTAAATGAGTACCACTGTTCACGACTGTTGCTAATCAAAAGAAATTAATGGAAATATATGAACATCACTGTCATTCTTCCATCACGGAGACTTCGACAGTGTCCGTAAATGAGTACCACTGTTCACGACTGTTGCTAATCAAAAGAAATTAATGGAAATATATGAACATCACTGTCATTCTTCCATCGTCAATTTCTTATTAATTGCTATAAATCACTACAGCTAGTTGACCATCAAGAGCTTACTTTTAATATTTCGTATTTTCAATGCATGGTTAAATGCTACTACACTTCTCAGCAGTTGAGAGGTTTCTAAGTTCCAAACTACGAAGCGAAGAACATTTGTAATGTAATTGAATCCCATTCTATAGGGAAACAACTAATCAGTATGGACGAATTTTAATGGTTTTTTGCTTGATACCAGTTAGTAATGAAAGAAACTTTAAACTTAATAGTCTCTAGAACATCACCCTTATATTGGCATAAAATGAACTCTGTATATATGTTATTTTTCTTTTGGTCTGTTCATTCAATTGAGGAAATAATATGTACATGTACTGTAACATACGTTGACACTAACTACACATCTGTTTCCATTTGTGATCTTTAGTGAATAGAATAGATTATAATTTAGAAATAATTTACGCTTTCATTATCTGAAACGTTCATGTTTTGTTTTTTTTTTGAAACAGAAATATGTTTTCGTTACAAACAAACTAATTGTTATTTTTAAACAAAAATAGCAAACTTACACGATGTAAAAGAAGCAAAAATACAGTCTGAGTGGTAAAAAACAGGATTTTGAAAAATATGTAAATACTAGAGGCTGCATGTAATGGATATTTCTTCGCAATTTCATAGCATCTTGTAGCTGAGTGCACGATAGACATGGCAGCAAACACTGTAAAGAAATAAAAGTAAAATTAATTAATGTGAGAGAATACAGACACTAAACACAGTCAAAAACTAACATTATTCAGATGAAATGTAAGTATAAAACTTATAATGAATTTAGTATTCAACTAGAGATGAACATAGGAAAGTTAAGACCTATGAACGGACTTGAAATTTAAACGTTTATTTAGTTAACTTACATTTTCATATATATTTATGTTTAAACGTTTGTTCGCTGCTGATGAATCCATACTCAGAAAAAACAGCTGTACAGTGTTTAATGGTCTTTGATAGTTTTCTAACTGATATGGGTTTGTGATATTAACTTAATGTCCACTGAATTAAGCAGTTTTTCACAAAAACAGTAATCTTAAATCGACAAGAAAGTCAAAGATCCCAGCTTCCCTAGCTATTAGGGCAAGGCAAGTAAGTTTGAACAAACAGGTTGCATTTAAAAGGTGATATACTCCATATACACATAGTTCACTTAAACACTGGACAGAATGGAACATTATTTGTTTACAAACTTTTATGAGAAGACTTTGTGCCTACTTACCACTAGCAGAAAAACCTCAAGCAAACTTTAAAAAATTGATCATTTCGTTTTTATCTTTCAATAAATAAGTTACTCCAGGTACGCTTTTATATTATTTTCAATCTAAATCACATTTTTTATGATGAGGTAATGCATAATTATCTCATTCACCAAGAAGGCATTAATTTAGGATCATAAAATTTAAAAAGACGAACAAGTGTTTAGTAACGAACGATCTTTAGCAATGAATTAATAAGTTTGTAGTAAACTTCAAAATAAAAATAAAAGCCACCTAAAGTTTCGAAAAACGGTTGACTTATGCTTAACTCAAGTCGTCTGTTAAAACAAAGCCTTTCTGTAAACGGTTTATAAAACCGGAATTATTTCATGTGCTAAAAGTTATAAATGATTCACAACTAATTTGAACAAAAGAGTAATCAATATTTAATCTGTGTAATTAAATAGAATGAATTTAAAATTGAGGCTTCCACTAGTGTGAATAATTTTTCTCTGTATTAGTGAAAAGCCATCAGCTTAACTACTGATTCGTTATTGATAAATGAAAGTTAAACAGTGTTGATTACGGATTGTCGAATATGATTACAATCTTTTCTTGCCCTGTATATTATTAATCTATGTGTAAATTATTTTAACCATCTTAACCATCGGGTTAAGATGAAACATAAAGCATGGACTACACGGTAGAAGATCAAAATTACCACAAAATAATTTGAATGTTCATTGTTATCGGAATGTTGTCATCAAGCGAAAGATCTAAACTGAAAAGTCGATGTAAAATAATATAAAACATGCAACCAATGAATTTATGGCATTGATACTCATGTTCAGTTCTGAAACTCATTAATAGACTAGATAATAACGCAGCTGCCCAAAGGGATAAAAACAAAGAAAATAATCACGTCATTTGTGTGTGATGCGTGGATGGTGTTTACCTAACGGATAAAAACTTAGACATGAACTTAGATTATCCTCCTGATCAAAATAAGGTTCAATCTGATGATATATCAAACTCTTATCAGATGACCAAGTGATCTTAATCTGACAAAGCTATTTTATTCTTACATTTAACATTTCATGACATAGGGTTAAAAAGTTAATTGAAATGTTTCATTCTATTGTTTGGATGCAGCACAATAATATTATAGGCAATAAAGAACTAAACTTAAAGGCTTCATCTTTTTAATTACGAGTATGGGTATGGTATAGCTTACGACCAAATCTTGAAAACCAGCAGCGTATTTCAGTTTTTATCCGTTTGGCACACTAAAAGTAGATGGTGACAAAACCAGTAAATGAGCTGGTCTCGCATCACTCGTTATACAAAAATGTTTTGGATACATGGTGTCATATCTAATAAAAGTAAAAAAATATGTGAATGATCATCAACGTTGTAAACCATGTGCCTGCTGCTGTGTGTTCGATTTAGGTTGTCTAATGGCTTTAGGTCACATGAAACAAAACGAAAGTTATTGTAAAATTTGAGAGAGGATGAATGGTTTTAGACTAAACTGATTCTAGATGAGTTTGTACTTTGAGGAAATGACCGAACTCAGTGACTTAGTGATAATGTACTTGTCACGAAAAATGGTGGCCTGAAGTTCCTTCCAGTATCCAGAGAATTAGAAATTGCATCTAGTAAACCATCACACACAATGTAAATCATAAAGTAGTTAGCTTAAGTTATGACCTTGGAATATAATGTGGATTTGCTATTGCATCTGTCGAACAGATGGAAACAAGAGCACTGGAATTCTAACGGTGACTTATATTGAAACATATATTCGGATATTATCTTGACTGTTAAAGGATTTATTAAGTTTAGTGTATTTTTTGCATAATCAGCTGGTCATGGTTTGTTTCTTTTCATCTGTTCGTTTAGTGTAAGCTTCCATTTCATACTGATTTTCATGAATGTATGAAACAATGAACTAATATGCAGCTAAGTATCACTTCAAGACGTTAAATATCAAGGATCTATGAAAACTATGATCATTAGAGAAATCTAAAAACTCCAGAATAGAAAAAAATAAGATATCGATATTACCAAGTCATTTTAAAGTGCAAACAAATGATGGTTATCTCACTTTGATATGTTCTTAAAAAATAGACATCCGGTTGAAATGAAGTTAAGAAAATGTGAGTATAAAAGTAGCGTCAGCTAAATAAGTGACGCGAAATGAGCGTGTAACAAATAAACGTTACGATGAGTATAAATGGACTTGGAACAATATGACAACAGTATTCTTTTGGTCAAATTAATAAGGTGTGGGTTTGTTGAAGCTTGATAAGCTCTAGCTAGCTTATTTACTGAATATCTTGAGCGATTTTCAGACACAATTATTTCCCTAATGGTCATGTGACGTTTGACTCCATTGTCAATTAGCTAAGGAACTTTGAGCCTCAAGTTCTACATGATGTAATAAGATAAAGAAATATGAATACATCTGATGTGCATGCTATGAATGTACATATCAGTTTACAATTAAAGCCAGAGATAACAAAGACTGGTCATATGCAACTTTGACTTTTGAAAAGAGTGGTCTGTTCAGTTGATCGGGAAGAATTTGAATAAATTACACTATGAGAATGTTGTTGATGGAATTCCTTAAATCCGATGATCTGAAAATTAAAACTTGTTGACATACCAAAAGTTGGTTGTGAATTATGTGCTGGAGTATGTCGTCCTGAAAGTATACAGTGTGCTGGAAACAAGTTGATAGTTACTTCATTTATTAAATATATGTTCCTAACGTAAGCTTCACCTTTGGCGAAGATCACTGAGATTATTACATTGGATTGGTTTCTGATAGCATTTCTAAACACTGCATGGTCTGAGCTAAATTTATTGTTAAAAAGCATTGGTAAAATATGCTTTCGTTTGTTTTTATTACGAAGACAAGTTATTTCACTAGAATTTGTAGTTTCTTGTTATAATATCATAGTAAGCAAACTTAATTTATGGATGAAATGATGAATGATGAAGGACTTTTTTAACGTGAGTGCAAACTAAACGATTTCTTTTAAACAATAATCGTGTATATTCTTTGAGTGGACCACATTAGTTGCGTATCTATATCAAAACTGTCTACATGTGGTATTTGTTTTGGAAAAGTGAGGTAAATTAGATCAGGGTATAAAAAAAGGTCATTTTAATTAAGGGAATTAACAATAATGTTGTTGTTAATGCCTTGAATATTCATGATGAAAATCGATAAACAACTGATAATCGGAAATTGAAGGCTCAGCGTGATCAGACAAAATGTTCAAATGTTCAAAACGAACTGTAATCAGGAAGGTCATAGAAATAGAAACAAATCAGTTGGGGGTAAAAGATAAAAGGGAAGATTATGTTTGTTGGAGAAGAAAAAACTTTGTTTTTATTTCACCAGAAATTAAGGTCATGATGAAAGAAGCGATTATACCAGTTTCTTCTATACACATCGCTCTGACCTTTCCAATCCGAACCATCCGTTTCTGACTATAAGTTCATTATCAATCTTCATGATGAATATTCAAGCCATCAGTAACATTATTTTTAATTCCCTTCATAAAAATAACGCTTTATACCCTAATATAATTTGCTTCACTATTGCTACATTTAGTAGAACTTTGATTATCATCATTACTGTAATTATATATATATATATATATATATATATATATATATATATATATATATATATATATATATATATATATGCTACTGTACAGCTTTGAAAATGAGTTCGCCAAAAAAGTTCTCTTCTTGAACCAAGCTTTCCCGTTTGATTACCGTTACTATTTTAGAAATATTTACAACCAGCCTCACACTTTCAATAGTTCACACATAGTTTCCCCAATCAATCTAATTATTGATCTATTCAAGTTATGACTGGAAGGTTAAAACGCCATCCAGAGAGTAAACAAAAACGAATAAAGGTATTAGGAGTAAACAGTTTCAAAAAACACTGTTAGTACACCGGATCACGCATTATACAGTTGACAAAGTGTCAATATGTGTAAGGATAGGAAAGAGCTTTATTTCCCTTTTCATCCAATCACCTCAGAATGTGCTAATGATAATAATAATAATAATAATAATAATAATAATAATATCTCTCTTATTTCATACAATAATCAATTGAGAACATTCTAGTTTTTTGAGAGTTACTTCCACCTCCTACTGACATAAACTTTAAAACTGTATTAATTCATCGTTGTCCAGTGAAGAGAATAATTGAACGGTATTTGTTGCAACTATCCGCTTTAGATGCCATAAATGAATAGACTGAGTAGTTTTTGTCATGTATCTACTCGCTTTCATTCTAAACATTACATGCTCACAATATAATCCACTGATATCTCGAAATATGTAGACGAGTTTATTCTTAATTAATGCGTAAAAGTTGATTGGTTTACTACTTAAACGAGAAACTAATTATATTTAGTTTTAACTAGCATGCCCTTCTGTATACAAAGGGTTTGAGTAAACATTGCTTAACCACACTGTTCATAACAGCTCAAACGACTAGCTGCGCATACACATAAATGTATATAATCCCATAGCTATAACATACTTAAGTGAATAGAAAACTAGCTTATAAACGATGTAGTCGATTGAAATCGAAGTTGTCTGAACAATGTATTTCTGTTTATAATTGCTAGTATCCAGTTATCTCCAGAATCTGAAAATACTTATATATGTATTTTGTAACTCACAGATAGTTCCAAACTAAATAGTTGCTTAACTCAATATGTTAACTTGATCGTTGACGTATTTCGATTTTCACTTCCTCCGATTCCAGTAAAGTGCATTCCTGATTCTACTATACGGAAACGGCAAGTGATTGAGGATCATTGCTGGCAGAACTGATATTATAATAATGATCAATGGAACTTCTTCAGAATGAAAAAACTGAGTGAATCAACAAAAACATGAAATGTAACGATAGGCGAGGAATTCTTATTAAAAACAGCAAACTTATTCAAGTGAATGTATATTTACAACTAAACGACATAACTTCTCTCACCTAGTATCATCATTTCTTTTTTATGTCTACTAGAAATCATGTTATAATAAACTTCAAAAGCTTTTTTTGATCAAATAAGTTAGATAAATTGATGTTTTTATTGTATCTTTTTAAGTGCCATGTTAAAGAGATTGGAAACTTGAATAAATTCATCAATACTGTCACAAAATCATTTACTTGGTTTCACAAAAATTAGTTTCTTAAAACATTTGGAACTAAGCTACAGCGTAAATGTATAACTAAATTCAAAACACAGTAAAGCATTCGATAGGAATGTTAGTGTCCTATTTCCGATTAAAAGTATTGCAAACTGAATAACTCCTTCAATGTACGTTCAGTTACTGCACTTTACAGTGATTACAAAAGGTGCAATAGCGATGTATGGTTTTGTAAACGCCGAGTTATAAGTGAACTCGTAAACTTATCACTGATTCTACACTGTTACAAACAAGACCATTAATTGTTGACGAATATTCGCTTCAGTTAAGAGGCTTATTGAATTGAATAAAAAAATTATTATGGGATTAATGCCATAAAAACAGAGGTAAAAATACTTATAAAATGATTGTAAATAGGACAGCTTAGACATAAATGAAATGATGCTTTGTAAACGATTTTTGAATTATTCACTTAAAACATAACTACTCCAAAATGAAATAAACTAAGAAACTTTCATTCTATAATGATTCAACGCAGACATACTTAATAATCACTAAATCATTTATTTAGATGATTTTATGAAGTGAAGAATGGTGCAACAATTTAATTTATCAATAGTTCAACATTGGAAATAGCAGGTCGAACGTGGATAAATGGACGTAAAATAATCATTACCGAACATTGAAACCGTTAAGTGTTAAGAAATGTATGAAATGTAGGAGCTTAGAAGCGACTGTAATAACCGCGGTAAAGTTATCATGTAAGAACGAGTTGGGAAAACCAAAACAGCAGTATAAAATTTGAGACATGTCAAAATTTATACTTGAACTGAAATTTTTGTTGAAGGAAATCATGAAACCTGATAATAATTAACTTTTCAGCAGAAAAAACACCACTGACTAGCTAAATTATAAATTTTTCACACTATCATTTACTATTCCGTGATTCTACTCGATTTATAACCCAGTTTCCCCTACATGGAGATAATATTATGTTTAGTGGTTTATAGCTTTCAATTTATAATAAACTATTTAAACTTTCCATTTGAAAGAAAATAACATCATTTATTTACCAACAGAAATAGCTAATAAAGACAATGTTTAAAACAATTCATGAAAACATAGGTGTTTAAAACTCACATCCAATTCCAAAACGCAGGTACAAGTTTACATCTTCGCCACGAAATGAGAAGGCTATTCTCGGAGCTGATAATTCGCCTTTTTCAATTGCCTCCAAACTAGCATGGCGATGTCGATACACGTAACCAAGTGTAAAAATCATAGCAATGATAGAACTGATAAACATTATGGTATAGAATGACTATAAAAATAAAAGAGAAGTACAAAAAATAAACTAGTTATGCTTGGACTTTCATTGTATTAGTGATGATCAAAAAATCAAACACTAGTCGGAATTCTTCATGGACAAATGGGGACCATGTCTGACTTAAATAATTGTATACTAAATAATACGAAAACCACGGAACAAATGAGACCTAAGAGTTATTTTAAACTCAGAGGAAGCAATATTAACTTCCAAGACGTCTCACAATTGATAACTACATAACTCTTATTTAGTCCCGTCCAAACTGGTAATTGGTATAAAGATGGAGTAAAATGTAGCACCGAAAAATGTTGAAATTTCAGTTTATCATTAGTCGATTAATGTAATGTATCACTGAAACAATTTTAGTAGATTATAATAAGCATATCAGAATTATCCTTAGGAAATTTTACATCGTGTGCTATATTCTAAGCTACTTATTACCTGGGGAGAAATGCTTCATTCTCTGCCTTATTTATAAATTTGATTCTTCGACCACATAATAGATTCTATTGCTTCCTTATATTGTGTCTTCTTAGAACACTGATGTTGATTTTATTTGATACATTTGTGTCATCTCCCAGATTCTTTACCATATTTGGTTTTATAAAACAAGCTGTATCCAGTTGACTTATAGAATATCACTACGATACATCATATAACATATTTTGCAAAAATATAAAGGGTTAGTGTAATCTCCTCAGAATGCGAGTAGGTATTATGGGGAAGTCGATATTTTAAGAAGCGATGTTAACTATGATACAATTTCTTGTATCATTATCTTGTTACAATCAAGATGCATAGGTTTCATAGCTTTTATTAGTTAACTTGTCATTTTCCAATCTTAAGTTATGGACTTAATAACCACTGGTTGCGTACACTAATATATTTCATATCCAATCTGAAATACTTGCTGGCAATACCTTGAACTATCAGCTGAACCACAGACACATCCATATTTATAAATAAAGCCATTTTCATTAGAATATTTTTGCTTTTGTATTTATAATAGCATATGTAACTAACATCTTTCACTCTCTCATTTGCAATCATGAATATTCATTTTGCAATACAATCCCTATCTTCATTGTGTTTTGAGTTGACTTGATACAGGAGTTGAAAGGCTATATATAGCCTACTGATCTTGAATGATGTGTCTACTTTTAAGTTAAGATTATCAAGATTTTTTTGTACCACACTTCAATAAATATCATTGAAGCCATGTAACCAATCTTTAATTCACTCTAGAATTTATAAGTAGTTAATTTTAAATTTGTCTGTTAGATTGATAAAAGTTGTTTTCAAAGTAAGTATGGAAATGATGCACATCGCTGTTGGTACCTCTGGTTTTTATTTCCAGATACACTATTATTCTGATAGACAGTTTCGTTTTTGCATTACGGGGTTGTGAAGATTGTTAAGTTACACATTTTTGAAACCATGAATCGATCAATGTTAGACCACCATTAGAAACCTGGAAGCACTGGACGGCCGTTTCGTCCTGGTATGGGACTCCTCAGCAGTGCGCATCCACGACTCCTGCACCCCGCAGGATTCGAAACCAGGACCTTCGGTATTGTGCGCGAACGCCCTAACCGATAGACCACTGAGCCGGTATCTAACGGTGTTATTGTCTAACTTGATCATATTCACGGAGTTGCGCAACCTCATACACAGTCTTCGGTAGTTACTGTCTACACCCGAACAGGTTGAACTTCACGGGTCACGTCTTCCCTGCTGAGGAGTCCCATACCAGGACGAAACGGCCGTCCAGTGCTTCCAGGTTTCTAATGGTGGTCTAACATTGATCGATTCATAGTTTCGTTTTTAACAACTTAAAATCAGAACACATAGATCGGATCTAAGATTTTGTGCTACTACAATCTTCGTTAGACAATCTAAAGCTTAAAAAGTAACACGTAACTAGAATAATGTCTCTTGACATGTTTATGGCGTTTCCTATTGTATGTGTTCAGAGAATACCATAAGTACCATCATCAGTAGCATGAAACGAAATGATTCTTAACAAAAAAACAAGTTACAGAAGCCATGTTAGGACTTTTCTTCGTGATCAGGGTCTTCTGTGAAAATATTTAAATTTTCGATGTCAGTCATTCAGATTCCGAATAGCTCACTGGTGACATAAAAATTCTTAAGCTACATAACGCAGGGTATCATTAATCCGTTAAAGATTACAGTAACACTTTGATGAGAGGTCTACTGTCGTCTAACTCCTGCATCACGCTACGACTCACGTTTGTTAGTCATGATACATCGTTAGTTATCTTTTAAAAAAATTGATAACAATGTATACTGCATACATTAACTAGTTGTTCACAATCTTCACTACCTAAGGAAATTTAAGGTAGGACTATTCTTGGAGGAAATTAAAACCGAACTATGATTTTTCTAGATTATATTTTCGGTAAGTGGATGCTACAACTAGTAAATCTACTGTATATTTTCGGATACCAAATAGTGGATTAATATTACTGATAAAAATGTGAAATTTTCTAACTTATTAGATCCATTAGTAAATATTTGAATTATGTTAAGAATAACTATCAACCAGAAAATCGATCCTAGCCAGTTTAACATATTCCAATTTCAGGCCATATTTTCTGTTTGTATAAAACACCCCCAGCATATAAAGATTTTGTCAAAAATAATAACTTGTGCATTTGAGATTTAAAATTAGTTGCTGTCAAAAATATAAATATGTAAATTAATTGTAGGTTGAGACAATTACTCATTTCTATAAATTTTGATAGAACAGTGAGAAGACGTCATTGATCTGAAAAATGCGATGTATTTTCGCTTGACATTTTCTTGTAAAGGCATTTTTTTTAATGACGATTAATAAAACGTCAATTAACTAAAAGTTCAAATAGACATAAGGTGATAATTGTAAACGAAGGAGAGAGAAAATTAACTTAATATAGACAGAATAAGTAAGGGTAAGAAATTGTCACATACAATGTTTTGAAGGCTATCTTGATGTACATCTTATGCCCTGTCTCAATTATGTTTTGCGATAAATAAACATGGTTTTCTGTTTCCCAAGTTTATCGGCTTATTTGAAGTTAAGTGGTTTTGAAGCCACTTAGGAACATGTTGCATAACCCTTGACTTAATTGACCTTTTATCAATCTTCATATAAAAATGTCTTCTCACTGTCCTATCAGAATTTTAGGTTAAATGGTTCTAGAGCAGGAGTTTTCCCTATATTAAAACCATCCGAGCCTCATACAAATAAGTTTGGCTACAATGATCCATGTATACGAACTGAATTTATCATATTCAACCTTAGTAACAAATATACATTTTGATAGACTGTTAGTGATTTTCTGAGATATAGGACATAAATCACTGAGGTGTATAAGCAATTTTAATTTTTTGGTTAACAATTAAGATAGACCAAACAGTACACATTTCAGACATCGAAAACATAGTCAAATAATAAGTTTATTATAGGCTCATTCGGAGCACACAAAGCTGTTTTTATAATTATTTTGTTAGTAAGAAATCCATTTCCATATATATTAGATGCTGAATATTGATTGCTAGATAACAAAAATTTACAAAATATGTGCATATTAATTACAAGCTTTCTAATATTATGAAAGATTCACTTGTATGATAAAGGACAACTTTGTATCATGCTTTATAGAAAAAGGTTGAGCTATCTATGGTTGAACAAATGCAGTGGTGGCTCTTCGAAAATTATGATCACTAGTAAAGTTAGTAACGGAAAAGAGTATTATTATAATTGGCAACACATTTTTTAAGAAACCAATTATTTCTACAAGCAGTACAAGTGGATGAATGGTTAGCACATGCTGTCTAGAAACTAGATACATCTTGTTATATTGGAAATGATATAATAAGGGAGTTTTTTTCAATATTCTGTACAATAGTACAGGACGGTTGCCTAGTTTTGAAGTTACTGCACAGGACAACACTTCTTCGAAGTTGAGGTTTTCAACCCAGTCAAATAATTTTGGAAATTAGCACTTTTAAATACTGGCTATTAGCTCCAGGTTTCATGAGGAAATCTTCGAAAAATGAAATGTTTCAAAAAAATCATTAAATATTCTTCACTTCTTATGAGTTGGACTAAACTTTTTTTTCTTCAAAGTTAGCGAAGCCCTAACAACTGACTAAACACCAAGTAGACTGGATATTGAATGTGCACACTCAAAGTCATAGTTAATGCTAAACTGTGAAAACAAGTAAAAATTTGGTTGATTGCAATTGCAGTTAATGCACAACTTAAATAAAGACGAGTTACCACTAATATCATAAATGTTTTCATTTTTTTTCCAACCATAATATTGGTTTGAGTCTGTTTGTTTACAGTAGACAAAACTGAACACTGTACAGAGTGTTGATCACAGTGATACCCTTTTAACCACAATCGACGAATCTGATTTAAGAGTCCAAGTAAACTTGTGATCTAATCGATAGCTAATACGATCATGTATGCTGAAAGCTGTTTATATAATGCATTAATTAGATAAATCTATTATATAGATTGTATCTTTTTGTTCATTTACATATGTATGCTTTCATCATCGTTTTGTTATTTTTGCTATTTTATAGTTGTGCTAATAAAATATATATTTTTGTTTAGCTTATTTGAACGAAAGTGTACTTTATAAACTAATGTTATTAAATTAAATAATTGTTCGTGAAATAACTTACAACAAAAGAATTTTCAGTCTCCGCTTCTTTTTCTCCAGTATTGTAAAGTGTAATAGATAAACCCATAGCAAATAATAGGAAGCAATAAAACATTGAAACAACACGTTGCGAATGATTCCTATTGCAATAAAGAGAGTGAAGTACAGAAATACACATGAGTGTGTACAAGATTTAAGTATCAAAGATATTACTTTTTTCCGAAAATACAAAATAATTTTGTCCGAAAAAATAATCAAACTATATGCACTTGTTAAATACTTCATAATATAAAGGATTATCAAGTTACGATCAACAATGTCTGTTCTAATAGAATGACGATTTAGTGCATATATTGCAGTCAATAACATAAAATACTGATGTTCATTTCGCAATGCAATTTTACAATAATTATATATAAAAAATATAAATAATATTGATGATAAACTATAAATTAATCTCAAAAGTTACACTTTTTCATATAATCTCTGTAACAACTTTATTATTAGCATTGATCATATGTTTATTCTAATGATGAGGTCATATTCTCATAGTTTCCTGTGATTAAGAGTGAGTTTAAGTTTCTCTTTCAACTCAAAGAGACTCAGTACTCTCACCTATCTAGGTCAGTTTTCGATATCTAAGATCTTTTTAAGGAACTATATGACCTTCTTTCCAATAGAATATAAATTTCATTGTTCACCTTTACTTCTGATATGAATTTAGCTTAGTTGTGACAGTTATTGAATCGAAACACGATTTTATTCAAGTTCACATCTTCACGAAATGTGAAAGTGCCACTTATAAATCTCTTACATAAATAAAGCCTCTCATTTACTGGCTGAAATTCCTTATTCTGTAAATTGGCTATGAAACAATCAGACAAGAGGAGGTCTAGTGGCGAGCACAATATAACTCCACCGGTTTTTCTATAGAAATCGTCATTGAGAATACATCAAAGATGTAGTTATTTTAGATAATCTTTTTGGACGGAAATATCAAAGTTATTGTTTTCAGTATAGTCAGATAAAAAGCATAGTTTCTGTGGCTGGAACATTTGCAAACAGAGGCGCGACATCCGATGAGATTATTTTTCTCCCATCAACAGAAATATTCATAACTGAGTTAAAGAAAGTGAACGGATCAATAAAGTTATATCTGTTGACATGATGGCTGACAGGTCTTAAAATGTCAGCTAACCGTTTAGCCATCAAATGATGGAGGGATTAATTTATATCAGGAATGAGATGTACGGGAATATTCTTCTAATGTGCTTCTTATATCCCGTATCGGGCAGGGATTAACAAAACTATTTCGGAAACTGAAGTTATGAAAAAAAGAATTATACATTTTTACAGAGTTTTGTTTATCTTTTCAACTTCCTTTATTTCAGATAGCAAAAATATTTTCTGGTTTTCGCTTGACTTCTAAACTAAAGATTACACTCAAAACTACAAGTCTTCGATCTCCGAATCCTACTTAGAGAGGTACCTTAGGTATCAGATACACAGGTCATTTTCAAACTTCTGTTATAATTTCTAAACCAAAAAACAATTTTATTCATCACTCAGAATTAGAAATGTATGGTTGTAATGTTGTTTGTTTGGAAGGATGTTTCTTTGACACCAAATCTCATTATCGTTATGGCATAAATTAGTGTAGCTGTGTTCACTTATGTTAAACAAGTGCTTTCTTTGGGTAAACATTCATATTTAAACTCCATAGTTTAAAAATGAATGACCAAACCTTTATTCACATGTTCACCGAAGATGGAAGTATTGAAAGCATTTTTTCTGTAGTGATTATGTAGTACCTCCACATACATTTGAGTTCGTTCATATTGAATTTGGTTAAACGTTTTGATTGACTTATTTAACTGAGTTATCTGTTTAGCAATAACTCTTGTTGTTTCCTGGTTTGTATGAACTGTTACGAATGGACATTGCTTTCCGCCTACGCTCATATTCATCCCACTCGCTTTAATGTTGATCTAGATATTTGGATGACTCATACATTTTCTAATGTATATATGCACATTTTAATTTTATTAGTTCATTTGCCGATTCGCCAACTAGCAAATTCGCTAACTGGCTTATTCGCTTACTTGCCATGCTGCACTCGCATATTGATTTTTGCTCTGTCTGCCTGTGGTTTGGTGGCCTAATTGTGGTGTGCCAAATAAACGTATTAAACACATCGTATTCGTCTTCTGATTTATAAATCGTGAAGCTCTATTTAGTAACTGTTGTCTGGACGAGCAGCGTATGAAGTCTAAGAACATATCGGATATTGACCGCCATGCGTGACCGACCTCAAGCAGTTTTCCCCTAGGCTCTTCGGTCACGCTTTCAGGTTTCTCAGACCAACACTAATCCATCTTCCTTTTACGGGGACTCAAGAGACACCCTTCCACAGTTTGGGCAGTGAAATCGGCACTCATACCAGTAACAGCACACGAGACCAGATTGGTCACAATCAAATCCTTCCTACACGCCCTTATCTCTCTCTTATCTCCACCAATAACCCTTCTCATATTCCTTCGTCAAGCTGAACAATTTGCTTGCGTCTTCCTGGACGTAGGAAAAATATCGCAAGGAAAACTTCAAAGCTCTACTTAATGATAATAAAGCCAATAATATATTTCAGTAACAACCAGAAAACATGTAGAAAGTGATGCCCGCCCTGAGGCAGCTTGGAATGGTATCGAGAAAGCTATGTAGACTGCAGTGATATCTGCTTGTAAGGTAAATCATAAGGTTGGGGAGAAGCCTTGGATCTCAGTAACGTCAACCGAACTGACAGACGCTCTGGAACTCATCACTCTTGGCTCTGAGGAGGAGGAGAGCTGAGTCAGCTTTAGCGCAGGCTGATAAAAAGTCTACGTAATGATCGTGAACAGTGGTGGGTTGAGAAACCAAGACCGATTGAGAAGGCAGCGATGATAGGCAACAGCAGACAACCGTTTCTCCAGATCAAAGAAACTGGTACTAGGGAGACATCTATTAGAGCAACTGTCCCAGAAGGAGATGGTTGCATCATTAATTCTTAACTCATGGTATTGGATAGGTGAGCAGAACATTTTAGGGATCAATTTAACTGGCGTCCAGCCACACGTCAGTTGCCCACAACCTCCAGTCATCCTGAATAGCAAATCGACGTAAGTCCTCCGATCCTTTATGAAGTTGAGAAAGCGTTAGAAAACCTGAAGCGAGGGAGAAAAGCGGGTCCTGTTAGATTGACCCCTGAGATTTTTAAGGATGGTGGTCCAGTTTTAGCAGCTACATTGACTGAGATCTTAGGTAGAATCTGGGAACTGGACGCAATCCCATCTGACTAGTTTCAATCCCTGATTGTCCCAATCTACAAGAATGGAAAAACGTCCTCTTGTGACAACCACAGAAGAATCAGTCCCACCAGTAAAGTGTCTAAAATAGTAGCCTCGATAAAACTGTGACAACCTAAATGGAGCGTTCGAAGAACAAACTCTAGTAAACCAGGCTGGTTTTCGACCTGGACGTGGCTGCATAGACCACATTTTCAGACTACGACAGGTCCTGGAACACGGACACACATTTAGGCGTCTGACGATAGTTATCTTCCTGGACCTTAAGGCGGCATCATCAGTTACGAATGCGCAACTACTGACTGTCTAGACGAGTTGTTTTGTGGTGTGGTGAAGGTTGGAAGAAGGCTAGGGACGGTCAGACCAAAACATGGCACAAATCCATGAAGTTACTGACAATTCGACTGAGTCATGCTGGTAGATGTAAACTATCAGGTTGGGGTCTGAGAGATGATAGTAATCAATGGTTAGAGACCTTGAATGACATGGCTCAAAATCGTTTGCAGTGGCGCAGGTGCATCCGTTCTTTGCGTTATCTCAAATTCTAATCTTCTGAATTTCTCATCACCTCGTTATCTCACTGAATTATACTTCCTGAATAATTTCGTTGAACCCTAATCTTCTCAATTACTTGTAATACTTCTACTACCTCTACTACCATGGGATTTAAACTGTCAGTCTCGTCTCTGTGCCAATGTAGTATGGCATTCTTGACTGATATACATACGTACGAATTTCTACGTTGTAACTGACTGACTGAAACGACAGTAATGTGCATGTGGTGACTATACGCGTAACAATCTAGATTATTGTCTGTAGAAGAATAAAAAAACCAAACAAATCAGCTACCAGATAAACTCCAATGAAAAAGAGATCGTTCTTAAATTTTCATGAATCATTTACTTGTTTCTCAGAAGCCAGTTGGTGGACTTGCTAGGAATTAGCTTTGGAAGATATTCTTGATGTATAATATGTAACCTGTTGAGTGACACAACGAATGAGTAGAATTTGATCTCAACTTTCCAGCCTTTTATTCTCATTTTTCCCGATTAACACACTATTTTACTTGATTATTTTAATAATGGTAGGTGAGGTAAAGAAAAATAGTGCTAAAAGTGATTTCTACATAACGTAGAAAAACTAGGACTTATTAAGCGACAGTTTAGAGTAGAGTAACTTCTGCCGATTTGTGATATAATGAAGCTGCCCTCAGAAATTCTCTTTTGAGCTTATCCGATTAGTTCGAAACAAAAGGTTGAGATTGTATTCCATTTGATATGATTAGTGTCACTGAATTCTGTCAATCTGTTCATTTAAATTGGTTGATCGTTAGATCAGATATATATTATACGGTAACCGTACTCCAAAAATCACAATCATCTTTTATTCATGATACTAACTTATGTACTTTACAAAAATTATATTCAGTAAAAAGTTGTTTGAAATTTAACGCTTGGTTTGTTCAATTTAGATGCAAATAACTAGTTGCCCTACATAGGTTTACCAAAGTTTCATTCAAAGTAAGGATATATTGCTCTACTAGTGTCACCCATGAAATATTGTTCGAGTTTTAAAATAGATTTGTGAAACAAAAATTTATAAATGATCATACTACATTATATTGATAAGTTCTAATGAATCACTTCCTCTAAAAACGTAGTGCTAGGTTTATATTGATAAATGCAGTTTACTAAGATGATATTAAGATTCTAGTTCGAATTATAGTGACTTGTCGTATTTCAGTAAACATTTCATGCTGATCAGAAATTGAAGAAGCTAATGTATTCAAAGTTTATACT